TTCTGGTGCATTTGCAGGAATGCTTTTTAATGTACACTGTCCCTGTCAAATAAATAAATTAATTAAATTAAGTAGGATTTTTAATTCTATTCTGGATAAAACAGAAAGCAGAAAGCCAATTAAGAGTAGCTAGGATAACAGATATATAATCTCTCTGAATTTTCATCAGAACTCTGGCTGCAGCATTTTGGATCAGCTGAAGGCTTTTAACTACAGTTTGTGGACTTCCTGATGATTGCAATAATTGGAGATGAAAGAAGAAAATTCTAGAAACCTCTTTGATATGGGATTTAAATGGCAGGGCTTTAGAAAAAAGAATTGTGGGCAGGGAAAAGAATTCTATGGGCGGGGTCAGAATGTGACTCTTTGTGACATCATCAGCATCTCTTCTGTGTAAGATCAGTAGCTACTCTGAGTTTGTACAGGTAACAACTTCAGAGATTCATTAGAAAAAATTAGAAACGATTCAGGCGTTTTTTTGCTGCAGAAAGTTTGTGATTATAAGACACATTTATTTAAAGAAGTAGCCAAAAGGGAGTTTTACAAGGCGATACCTTTGCTTAAAAGCTAAGCCATCTGAACCATATTTTAGCAGACTAATTTCAAAGTCAGCTGTGATAATTTGAATTTAGTTCATATTAACGTTCAGATTCAGTTTTTAAGGACACGTTTAAAATGGAATATTTCTTAGACCATTTGCTTCAAATTGAAGCTGCAATTTTGAAGATGCACAAGAGGTGTAATAACTTCAAAACACAGTTTGAAAGCAAATTATCTAAATATCAAAATGAGAGCTCATCTGACAGTAATGACTGTGTCAATTTAGGGAGGGCGATTGATAAACTAAGCTCAGCTTTAACTGAATTTGAAGTTCAACTGCGAAATTTTAAACAGAACAGAACGCAGGAACAGAATCTGTTAAATTCAGATAATATTCCTTTAAATGCTAAGTTTGAGCCTACTGAATACAGGAGATGTGCGTCTATAGAATATAAAGATCAGCAATGTAATGTCCCTAAGCTTCAACAACAAAATGCGTCTGGGAAAATTCAGGCTTTAGATTTAGCACCACAGCAGTCTTATGATCAGACAACCAAGAAAGATGGGATAAAACATTGCATTAGCACTAAGACTCAGCGTGAGAGCACAGAGAAACCAGGAACATCTATGAAAATTAAAGCTCCTGAATGTGAACAGGAACAGATCTCAACTTTGGAGGGGAAATTTGTCAAAGAAAGACCGAAATCTAAAAGTGCACCAGCAGCACAAATTGCTTCTGTCCAACAGAGAGTTTGTAAACTTAAACTAGAGGCACCTAAAGGCAACAATGAAAAGGACTGTCACACAAACCCATGTATTAAATCACAAGATAAGCTTAAGAATGTGGAAGTATTGCTTAAGCACAAAAATATTACATTTGGAGAGGCAACTCTGCCTAATAATTCAAGATCATCTACCACTAAAAGCTGTGCTGTGAATAAAACCACCAAAAGTGCACCTAAAGCTTTATATACACAACAGTTGACAGTTCAGGTAAATAACCAATCAGCTAAATCGGCAGTTTCAGCTACAAATGACAAAGAGGATGATGTGAATTTTAAAACTGTACTTTCAGCAGAAGAAGCAGACAAGATATTTTCTAAGTTGATTTCTTTTCTACATAAAATTCCTGATGTTCAGGCAGAGTTACTGCATGAAAAGAGTGAAACAGAGTATTACAAAAACCTATATGATCAATTACAAGCTGATTTCTTTGAAATACGTACAAAGCTGGAGAACCTCAAGCAGAAACAAGATCCAAGGACAACTTTAGCTGAAAATGTAAGATCATCTATAAATGAAACCACCAAAGGTGCACATAAAGCTTTAGATACACATAAGTTGACAGTTCAAGTGAAAAACCAATCAGATACAAATGACAAAAAGGATGATGTGAATGCAAAAAATGTACTTTCACTAGAAGACGCAAACAACATATTTTCTGAGTTGATTTCTTTTGTACATAAAATTGCTGATGTTGAGGAAAAGTTACAGAATGAAATGCGCGAAAAAGAATATTACAAAAACCTGTATGATAAATTAATTAAGGAACATCAGCAAAATGTTGCAACAGAAATGGAGATCCCAGAAGAGGAGACTTTTCCCAGTGTGGCTGAAAACCATGAGCCACAAGCTTTGACAATCGTGGATACACCATCTGATAATTTGATAGTACTTGAACAGTCAACAGGTAGACCATTATTGGACATTCCGTCACCAGAGTCTGATGAAGATACATTTTTTGATTGTTTAGGAGATACACTTGAGCAAAATCCTGGCACATCTGATAATTTGATAGTACTTGAACAGTCAAAAGGTAGACCATTATTGGACATTCCGTTACCAGAGTCTGATGAAGATAAATTTTTTGATTGTTTAGGAGATACACTTGAGCAAAATCCTGGCACATCTGATAATTTGATAGTACTTGAACAGTCAACAGGTAGACCATTATTGGACATTCCATCACCAGAGTCTGATGAAGATACATTTTTTGATTGTTTGGGGGATACACTTGAGCAAAATCCTGGCATATCTTTTGAACCTTGTTCTTTAAATACTGCACCGGAATCTCAATGTGACAATGAAGTACTAAATATAGATTATCAAATTGAGACTGAGGAAGATGATGATGTGCCTTCTTTTTCAGTTGAAGTCTTGATAAAGATTATTGTGGCAGTTGGCTTCAGTTTTCTAACCAGATATATATTTATGCATATTGGCCAAGATTTCGATATGACCGAGGCCTTCTACCAGTTGCTACAACAGTACTGCTACCCTACATACGCATCACCTCGTCCCTTCTAACTCAGTATACAATTGAATTCTTTCTTTTTTCGCATTTTTTTTTCTGTTTTACCCTCCATCCCTCTCTCCCTTTATCTCCTCCTTAATTCTGTTCTGCTCTCCCTTTCTCTCTCCTTAATCCTCATCCCCTCTGCCTTTCTCCATTAATGTTATCCCCCCTTAATCTTTTCTTAATCTTTTTGTATAAAATTGTCATATGGGTTTTCTCCAGGTGATCTGGTTTTTCCCTAAAAAACTGAATTAAAATGACTAAGGGTGCATTTAATTTCTGCTAAGACTAATTTTTACAGAGCTGCCTATATGATTTAAGAGGTCAAACAACTACTGGCTACTTTTTAAAACATTTGAAGGTTTCAGATCAACAATTTCCTTCTTTTTTGACAAACAACAAAATAACTAAAAGAAAAAAGTTAAATGAAAAAAAGTCAGACTCTTCTTCTAGAAATTGTCCTTTTCTTAAATGGACAACAAATGTCTTGGTTAAATTAAAGTAATATTAGATTTTATTCTGCCTGTGTTATGACAAATGGTGGTCTTTATTTAATAACTTATTCAAGTAAAGTAGAGTAGTGCAATAAAGGCCAAAACATTTAGCAAAGTCTGCATGTCTGTTTAATATTCTTCCCCTTCATCTTCCTCTTCAAAGCTATCAGCTCCAACCTCCTCATAATCCCTCTCCAGAGCAGCCATATCCTCCCTGGCTTCAGAAAATTCACCCTCTTCCATCCCTTCTCCCACATACCAGTGAACAAAGGCCCGCTTGGTGTACATCAGGTCAAACTTGTGGTCAAGTCGAGCCCAGGCCTCTGCTATAGCCGTGGTGTTGCTCAGCATGCACACAGCCCTCTGCATCTTGGCCAGATCTCCCCCAGGAACCTCAGTGGGTGGCTGGTAGTTGATACCCACCTTGAAACCAGTTGGACACCAGTCAACAAACTGGATAGATCGCTTGGTTTTAATTGAGGCAATGGCCGCATTTACATCTTTGGGCACAACGTCACCGCGGTACAGAAGGCAGCAAGCCATGTTTGGGAGATACACTTTTTGGACACTTTTTTGGTTTTATTATCACAGAAGCACAACAGGTACCACTATGCAGGACATAATACCACCATGAACAAAAGAGTAAAGGAATGCTAATGCCAGAGGAGAACCTAATCCAGAAACACCACAGCATTTTACTTCCAACCTTAAAACAATACTCTACTATAGCCTGCAAACTTGGGGAAAAAAAAAAAATAAAAAAGTCAAAAGCTATTTGGATTATTTGTTTTGTTTCATCAAGTAGGCCTAGTTAGCTAGCTAGTTAAGTGGTTAAGCTTAAGTTATTGGTTAAGTATTTAGTTAGTTAAATAGTTCAGTAGTTAGTTAGTTAGTTAGCATCAGCCTTACAGGAGACAGGACCTAGATATTTTTCACAATTATTTGAGGTCTAAAAAATCATAGATGAGAATGAAACACCATGACTCGAGATCATTAATCAATCATTTCTTTAATTCATGACTAAAAATACTACTACTACTACTCTACTTTGTGATTTGTAAAATACAGAATTAAATAATTACATATTAATGTAAACAATATTAAATACATTTAAAATGGTAATTACGTTGAATTTAAAAAACCGAATTAAAATGTGAAGTAATAGCTTGAGTTTTTGGGGAACAGGCAGATCGCTGAGTCCAGATGAGGAAATGGGCGTAAAGGGCCCCTCCCAGTCACAGCAGGTTGCTTTTGCTTCTCATACTTTTTGTTTTGCAGAGAAGAGAACCAACAGGAAGCTGCCGGTGCCTCTTCAGAGCTTCAGGGATGGTGACACCGAGTTTATCCTGCGGTTTGTTTCGGCAGATCGAGCCGATCGTCGTGCTGGAGCAGGTGGGCAGCGCTCTGTTTGACACCGCCTTACAGATGGTGGTGAAAGAGCGATGCGCCAACATGACGGAGGAGAGCCAGCAGAAAGCCATCACTGACTTCTACATGATCTACAACCTCATCATCAAGCTCTGCCCCATCATACCTGCGCTGGCCCTGGCAGCACTCAGCGACCGCGGCTGGAGGAGGGCCCCCATCGTTGGGCCCCTGAGCGGTTACCTGCTCTCCAGGCTCACTCTGCTCCTGGTGCTCATTTTCGATCTCCCGCTCAGGGTGATGTTTGCAGCCGCGGTGATCTACGGCCTCTCTGGGGGGTTCAGCGCCTACTGGCCCGGGGTCATGACTCTGGCGTCTCTGGGCTCCAAGGCGGCTGATCGCTCCAAGGTTGGTGCTTTAACGCATTTTATACACAAATAAAGTTGGTAAACATGTATGGAACATGTTGGTAAAAGTCTATTTTAACGATGTTACTGGAGCTTTTCAATAAATTGGAAATTCTTCTACAAGTGATTTTATTCAAACTTTGATTTTAAGGCCTAAATCTGGATAAATCAAAAGAATTAAATCCAGATATAACACTGGAAAGACTGTTTGCTCTTCATTCACTCCTTCCACAATGCCAGTGATAAACAATGATGCTGTTTGCAGAGATATATTAATGGAAGTGGAAAGATAAATCAAGTAAAATGAAAAAAACAGAATGGAAAAGATTGTTTAAGAGGAGAAAAAAAGACAGTATGAAACTATGGGCACTTTTAGAGACAACATCAAAGCCTTTTTGAAAGAATTAGTGCAACCTGTATTTTAGTAATTAAACCGTTGGTACAATAACAAAATGATAAAAAAAAATAATAAAATAAAAAAATTCTTGGTAGCTACTTTTTCTAACGTCCATTTTTGTCCCCTGCACGTTTTACTGTCCAAAAACGATGTTATGCTACAGTTTACAGACATTTGTCTGCCCTGTGTTTGAGCTACTGTTTGCGCCATTCCATCTTTTGGTCCCTATACCTGGCTGTGCAGCAGGGGCGGAGCTAGATGGGGGGCCAGGCCACCCTGGGGCCACCCCTGCCATTTATTTCCCTCTAATACAGACAGTGGTAACAGTAGTACTCTTAAGTGGAATATTGAAACCATTTTCATTTTTCATATACCGGTATTAACATTTACTTGACAACAAAGACATTGTGGTTAACTATGCACATAAATATACTAAAATTAAAGATAAGTACAGAATTCATGCTCTTTTCAGAACTAGATTGTGGCTTATATGGGGTAAAGAGAAAATTATGTGTCTCTGCAAGTCATCTAGGAGTCTTCGGTGAAATGATAGATAAATAACAATTTTAATACAAACGTATTAAATAATCAATTTATGTAGATATTTTTACTTGTAAATATAGGTTTTTTTGCATAAGGATTACTGATAAAAATAAGTAATGACAATGGAAAAGAAGTTTGCCCCAGAACTTAATCCTAAAAGATTTGTATCCACTACATATGCGTCTATTTGTTAGCAAAGGCTGCAGGAAAGGATAGTTTGTCTTCATTTAGAAAATATGGATGTTGTGCTCAATGATTTTCCTGTTGGAACAGTGTAGCTTAATCCTGATACCAATTCCATACCCATACCATCTGTTTGAAATTATTTTACATTGATCAAACTCTGAGGTATTTTATGTAGAAGATTGATGGTAAATCATTTTAATTCATGATTAAAGCGGCACCAAGATTAGAGGAGAGGTTGTTAAGCTTATCAACTATAATCTTCAGTTCAGATTTTTCAGGAACAGCGTATTATCATGGAGATCCACAACATGTGAATCCCTCCCAAACTCTTTAATGGTCACACAACCCTTTCCTCCAAAACTGAAGTTATCCCAGTTTTTGTTTTCCTTCCACCATTTTTGCTTTCACTTTCTGCATGGGGACAACAATCCATTAAGTGTCAACATTTTCAGCACTGACCTTTTGTGGATAACTCATTGTTTACACTACATGAAAATGACTATAAATACAATGGTACATCCGTGCATCTTCGACCCCATCTTAGACGTAGGAGCTGAAGATGTTGAGCCTAGACAGCAAGCAGATAAGGGCTGGGGGTGCTGATTCTATGAAATAAATGCTATTTTGAAGAGCTCCTCACTTCTAGACATAATGGCCTCTATGCACAACTCTACTTCCTGAATTTAAGGCAGCTCCTTTGTTTCCTATCTTTCATTTCTGGATGAACTGATTAATCCAGGTGTGTCTAGCCATGGTTACTGAGGTCAGGCACACCTTGATTAATCAGTTCATCCAGTAGAAAAATACAGGAAACAAGTGAGCTGCCTTAGGTTCAGGAAGTAGTGCGGTTGTGCATAGATCCCATGATATAAAAAAATATATGTTTTAGTTTTGGTAGTTTTTTTTAGTTATTGGACTGATTTTAAGAGACCAAAATGGAAGAACAAAAAAAAAACAAAAAAAGGGGAAGTAAGCAGAAAAAGTCTCCTTTGGGGCCAGACGTTGGCAAAAACAACCTTGGGAAAGAAAGGCAGCTGTCAGAGACTGTCAGCAAATAGGGTTTGGGGACGTCCCCGGCTACAGCTGATTTACAAAAACCAGAGATGAAAAAGCTCATTCTAGAAGGAGCTGAGATGAGATTTCACTTTTTTGAGTGATTTTGTGTAACTAAATGTCATGCAGAAGTTGGGTTGTTGAGTCAAACTTTTCTCAAGTCTTTGTTTTTGTTGCACCATTTGGGAAATTTTGGGATTTTCACTTTCACATATGGGTTGAGGCAAATCACGAGACTGTTTTCTAATAACTGTTTATTACAGTGTAATAAAGGATTGTGGGGTATATTAAGTTGTTCCTCAAAATGAAAGTTGTTCTCTTCTTTCAGCTATTCTTAGAGCAATCAGTGCCTGTTTCTCATGTGCCATGCAGGTGATGATGAGAGTGGAGTTGCTGTATGGGTTAGCTGGACTGGTGGGCAGCTTGGTGTCAGGTCATCTCTTCCTGCTCTACAGCTCCAGTTTGGGAAATGGAACCATCCTGCTCTCTGTGAGCACGCTGCTGCATCTGCTCTGCCTCATATTCTCTGTTGTCCTGCTGAAGGTCAGTTTAACACCATCATCCCTCGGATTCAACAAAGCTTTGCGAGATGTTGAGAGCTGGCTGGATTGGTTTTCAGCTCTCCTCCAACATATTCTCCCAATTATGTGCCAATTAGTGATGGTCTGCCATATAAAATGAAGAAAAATAAACTGAACTATTGCAAGATGTTACAATAGTCTGAGGAAAGTCTTCAGGGATGTCTTTATCAAAGATTGCATGGGATTTATACTAAAATTCCACAAAATGACAGACAAAAAAAATATTTTAGATTTAACAAACCTAGTGTGCAAAAACAAAAAAAGCAATTTCCTCGATACATCCCACCTGATAGAACTAGTGTGTTTCCAAGGCTCCATGGTTACCTATAGCAACCATGGAAAGAAGCGCTGTTAAACCAAAGCAGAATGATTCTTTGGTGACTGAGGTGGGGAGTCAGATACATATGTTTAGTAGGTAGCCACAGAGATGTCATGACAATTTAAAGGAAGTATTATGAATGGAAACAGATCCTGATGGCTGGACTGATTCTAACACTGATATCCAAGGTGGTAGGCAGAGTTACGCCTCACATTGACTCTTATATTTTAGATGATCTTGTTGCTTTGGGCTGAGAGTAAATTAAATATTAATTAGACCTGCAGTGGTTAGAAGCTGTAATTAATTAATCAAATAAAAATGATGAAAATTTGGATAAGCTGCCCCTTTAAACTAACTATGTGATTTAATATTAAATCTCATATTAATATTCTTCGACTGTGAAAGGATAACGGAACAAAATCATAGTACGTTTGTTACAAATAAAGATATATATATATATGTAAAAAAAATTAACAAAAGTTCTTCTATAAGAAATTAATTTAAAAAAAAACATAGAAACATGTCTTCTTTCAGCATAATTATACAGCATTAATTCTGATGGAAGCTCTAACTCTTGCTTTTTAACTTATGAACATACTGATTTTATTTTTTTGAACTTTTTCACTTACATTTCTAACTTGTTAACGTAACTTATTAACTTGAGGTGGGCAAAAATAGTAACTTTCCCCATATGTGAGCTGCTCATAGGCTTTTTTATGTGTCCTGTTACCATGTTTAGTTATGTTTCAGCCCCAATTGGATGTTTGATGCTGATGAGAACATTGATCAATGATTAATGTTTTAAATGCGGTGATATTGAAGGTCTGAGGTTCTACTCTGGCTTTAATTCTTCTCAACATCGTTTGCACACCAAGTTTTTTTTTTTTAAATATCCAACCTTTGTGTGGAAAGTTAAATCCACAAGTTATAGGCCCCGTTTTTGTGTGTTCATAAGCTTGATAAATCAGACCCCAGGTCAGTGTTGGATTCCGATTCTCTTCCAACCTCTTATTGATCAGATACTTTGCCTTTTCATCGCATTTCAAGGTGAAACAGAGGAGCAGCGTGGACTCAGAGGAAAGCTACCACCTCCTCTCTCACGCCTCCCGTAACGCCCATCTCATCAGCACTTCCAGTCGGATAAACGTGCTGAGTGTGGTTCTTCTGTTCGTGGCGGCCTTCCTCTATGACTTCGCTGTGGGCGGAGCCATTGAGATCCTGGGCTCCTTTGTATTGAAATCACCCCTCAGCTGGAATGCCACACAAGTAACATTAGCTGCTTTTTTAGATTTTCACATCATTCTTTTTTTTTCATGATTTGCTCCTAACTCAGTATTTTTTTTCTTGGTTCATCTGTCAGCCTGTTTTATTTTTTTTTTTCTGTTTTTCTCCTTCCCTACAGGTAGGGTACGGAAATGCTGCAGGATTTTTGATTTTCCTCACCAGTTTCATCGGCGTCATTGTGTTCCGAAAATGTGTCGGCGATGAAACGATGATCCTGATTGGCATGCTGTCGTTTGCTTTAGGCATCTACGTCATGTCCTTCGCCACCACGACCTCAGTGTTCTACATAGGTGAGATCTCTGACCTGCAAATTGGAACCTAAAGGTATAGTGGAGAATTTTCATGACTTAGAAAGACGCGCCCTCTCCACTTTAAAAAAATTGTACATGCACGACCCTGTACCCGCTTCCGAGAGGGAACACCTATTAAACGCGTGCGAGAGCATGCAGTAGCCCATTTCTCCTCATCCATGCTCTGTTTAAAAGTTGCTGTTTGGATCGCCCATACAAGCTTACTTTACAAAAGAAGATTTGCAATTTTGCCACTATGTCAGGCTCACAACCAGTAAGTAAAAACGGTAACATATCATAAAACATATCACCAGAATAATTGACAAATTAGGAGAACCATGTTTTGATAATCCACCCGGAAAAAAAAAAATCCTCTACTATAGATTTAAAGTGACATCCATAGCAGGGAAAGCTACTGGGATGTCTACATTACTCTGCTTATTGGCTTTAGAAGTGACTTTAGGAGGCAGTCTGAACAGCATTCTACCTCATTTCTAATTTGGTTATTTGCACATTTCAAATACAGCGACAAAAAGGAGAAGTGGGATTAATCTGAAACCATAAAGTCTCCCCACTCATATTTCTAGGCAGTTTCAAAAGCTTGCAGCCATTCAGTCACAAAGCCTTTATATCTGATGTCTGTTCTTCATGGTGCTTTCATTTTGACGCACTAAAATATAGATTATTGACCTAATCTCTGCAGGGATTAATTATGTGATAAAAGAAAATGATTTGTTTTAAATAATGAAAAAGAAATTAACAAGACTGAGGTTTTGGGTGGGAAACTTTTGTTGGTAAACAATCAGCCTATCTGTGTTCTAAAACTCAATTGTGAAGGTTTATTTTTGGGTTTTAAATTCTGAATTGATTCTCATATTAATTCCTAAAGATAAGTTATAAAGATTGCTCTGTCCTTTGTCCTTACAGCCAACATTAACTATAACTACTTTTATTTCTCTTTTTAATGTTAATATAATAGTAGTATCGATATGCTGTATAACTAAACAGCTCATAAAAATGTTTTTAACACCAAAAATGAAAGATTAGACATGATGTTCAAGTTTAGAAAATGCAGTAAAATGAAATTGAAGATCATCCTTTAAGGATGATGTTTTGACCCTCACATGAGGGGATTTCACTGGTGTAGAAGTAAAAGACTGTAGCGCTGCTTTTCATGATCATTCTCACACCCTGAGAAAATATGTTTTATATAACCAATGAATCGGTAAATCAGAATTTTAAAGTCGATTTATTTCAGTCGAAAACATTTCAAAAGCTAAAAACCATTAACCAATGCTTGGATTCATACACTCCAAGCCTTGATTTCTGCTGTTTTACAACTAATGATGAGAAAAAGAATATAAAAAAATAACAATAATGATTTTTTTAATTCAGAAATGTTGTATTTTGGACTCAAATACTTAAATTACAAAGGACAAATTTAAAGGAACATAAGTATTCTGTCTACTGTAGCCAAGCCCGTTATTGGAAAGTTAAGTGGAAGAAAAAAGTGGGTGAAAAAAGAAGTGAACAAGCAACAATGATAAACTTAAAGTTTAAGGAAAATCAGAAGGAAAAAATATGATACCCTGGTAAATAGGAACACATATGAACTGCACTGCTATTATTTTACCTTTCCTGTTATTTTCTAATATTTTAGATGAAACTGTGTCTTTATTAGTTTAGCTGCATGGCTGTTATAGTGCTTAGTTTAAAACTGCTACCTGTATTAGCAAGCTGTGCTGCATTGCTAACAGTTCTGTGTGTGCAAACTAGAACAAGCACATATCTGGCATTAGCTTTTTTTCTTCCTTATTACAGTCTTATCTCAATTAAGCTTGCAGTTCATGTTTTAAAAAATATTTTTCACTTTTTGTGTTTTTAGGTCAACATTTGTAACCTGATAGCATATATAGGCACATGCTAGCTAGGTTGCTTAGTGTAGCTTGCTGTGGCTCAATTTATCGACAATTTTAAGAATCTTAATTAAACATTGTTTAATACGTATCTAAAGAAACATAAAGTTATGCTGGTTTAGTTATTGTGTCTCCAATAAGGGGTGAAAGAAGCCAGCTTTGTAGCAGTAGGGTGACATTTCAGGGAAGAGGAACCTTTACTAATCAGTCCTTGTTTCGCTCCACAGCGCGTTCTTTAAACCTCTTCGCACTCATCCCCATGCCAACGATCAGGTCTGTGGTCTCGCAGCTGGTCCCTATGTCCTATTGTGGTAAGTTTCCAGTCTGTGCTGATATGTGTGACGGTAGCAACTCCCCAAAAAACACATTTCACATTAATTCACTTGTAGAAAATCAGAAATATCCATCAGTTTTAAAGTATTCACTGTATAGCACAACATCTAAAATATATCTAAGATATAAGATAAGAGCTTAAGGACACCTTAAGGACAAGGGACACTCATTTGAGGACCAGAATGTTCACATTTTGGACAAAGAAGACAGGTGGTTTGAAAGGGGTGTGAAGGAAGCCATTTATGTTAAGAAAGAAAAACCAACCTTAAACAGAGGCGGTGGACTCAGTTTTCAGCTCTCAAAAACCTTCAATGCAGCGACGGAGTAGAATCCTTCCTGCAATCATTTCAACCCCCGAGTCCAATGCAGGGGACAAAACATCTTGCCCCTAACAACCCCCCTTTCAGAGGCAATAACCTATTGGGTATTGCAGGCTAACAGAGAACCCAAAACAGCTCCCCATTCCTAAGGGCCATTCTTCCGATTCAATCTGCATGGTTTCTAAGCCAAACAAGTTTTTGGCTATGTTATAATGCTTCTAACTCAAAGCTAATTCTGACATTTTTAAGCAAAACATCTTCAAACTTGGAAACCAAGTCCAGTGGATTGGGTTTTTTTTTTACTTTTTTGGTATGACAATGACCTGGATGACTGAAAATCTTCACCAGCAAGATAAGATAAGATAGACTTTATTGATCTCACAGTGGAGAAATTCACTTGTCACATCAGCTCAATAGTCAAAACAAGGTGCCATTGGGTATATACATATATACAGTGCGTCACCAATTTATATTTATATATATAAACAGCAACAGTATCTTATAAGGTCTTATATGAGCCCTTTAAAAGCTGGATTATATGCACCTAACTCCCACTACAAAAGTAAGCAAACCTTTATAGGGTTAAATAACAGGGGGTCAGGCTTTTTGTATGCCGCCCACCTGCCATTTCAGTTACAGTTTCAGTTAACTTGTGTACACACAGCCTTTGGGAAAATCTCTGCAGAAAATACTTTCATTTCCTGGAAGACTGACCGGTCCTGTAATGCTGGTCTGTCCAGTTCATGTCTTTATCATACAGCAAACACTGAGACACACCATGACACAGCCTTTGTTCATCCATCTGCGTTGAAATCTCTTTCACCATGTGATAAAGACTGTAAATGGTCATTGAACACACCCTCCTGTGAATTTATTTTAGGATTTCATTCTTTGATGTGATCCCCTGCACATTTGCTGCCTGATATCTCTTTTTTTATTTATTGATTGACTTAATTGATAACACAGTGGAGAAATTTACTTTTTTTTTTTTGCCATCCATTAGGTATGGCTCTCACACTGCTGGAGATGACCCTTAAAGTGGCTGGCGTCGCCTACATTCCCACCTTCACCAAGATCTATCAAAGCTCTCTCAACTGGCTCCCAGGCTTGGTGTTTTTGATCTCCAGCATCATCACTGTACTTGCGATGATACCCATCAGGTACGCCCCATCTAAAGCTACTGAGTAAACTGTATCCGATGAACCCTTTGTGTCTCATTCTCAACGATTCTCTCTGTGCCGTTTCCTGAAGCATCGTCGGCTACATTTCGGCTCAGAACAAGCAGTACGTGAGGATTCAGGGAGACTGAAGAAGCAGCACACATACAAGCAGTGAGTTCTTTTCTAAAACAAGCCAACTGGGAAATGAGACTTTAAGGGAAATGTTAACATTCCACTTCCTCAAATGTTGGAGCTAAAACAGGGTGTTTTTTATACTTGCCTAAACGGCCTTAAGTAACATTCAATGTGGTGTAAAAAGGCCTGCATGGACACTTAACATGAGTAAGCCAAACCCATATGACAAATAAAAAGTCGAATATTGTTGAAACGATGTCAAAGGTTCGCGCAAAGGTGGTTTAATCAGACGATGACTTCTTGTTAAAAAACAGAAGTGCGTTTTGAAAAATGCCTTATGTCTGCTATTTTCAACACTTTGGAGATCACCACTCAGAGTATTGCATGAGGTCACCTAATGTTTGCCTTCATTACGCTCTCCTTTCGCCATTAGTTTTATGTCGTAAACCAGATTTCAGCAGCTTTTTGCTTTGTTTCCCTTTTTAGATTTCTTCATTGGAAACATGCATTACAGATAGGCAGGAGTTGGGAAAAGCTAAGGTGATGCTGTGTTTTATTTAAACACATAAACTTCCTTGGGTTCCTTAAGCTGGAATTCTGGTCTGGGCACAGCAACAATTAAATTCACTTTTAGTCAGAAGAAACGTGGGAAAAGAAAACCACCCCTTTAAACCTTAATCTACCTAATCTAGCTATAGAGGTCCATGTTGTTACATGTTTAGTACATGATGACTTGGTGGAATCAGCATCTTGGGGATCGTATTCTTAGGTATAGATTAATATAAACAAAACATGCGGAAAACTGAGGCCAGTTTCTGATCTCTGGTTTCCTTAAACTGACTTTTTTTTTTTTTTTATCCTCCTGTCACACTATTTATGTGAGGACGTTGAAAAGTCAAAGTTATTACAAAGCTGATAATTCAAGCTGTCTTCTCATATTGGCACATGATAGATTAAGCAGCACTGATCATCACAAAATTCTTTTTTTTTTGTATATAATCCTAAGAGAATTTTAAAGCTTTACCTTTCCAGAATGTAGCCAATTATGTTTGAAATTGGCCGCTCACACTGAGCCTGGTTCTGCTTGAGGTTTCTTCCTGTTAAAAGCGAGTTTTTCCTCTCCACTCTCGCTACAAGCTTAGTGTGAGGGATTGCCTTAGAGTCAAGGAGTCGATGCAATCGACTGGTTTTCCTTAGATAGAAAACTTTGAATCAATTTGACTGTATGATTCTGGTGAACTGTAAAGTGCCTTCAGATGAAATGTTTTATGAATTGGTGCTATAGAAATAAACTGAATTGAATAAATTGAATTGTTCTAAATTGCAAATTTTAAAGACTGAGATTTATAAACTCAAAAGGGAAAAAATGAACAACTTTATTTGTACTTGTAGGTTTCAGCCTACCTGCTAAACGTTGGGGTTTATCTGGGAAAACAGCAGCTTTGTGATTTGTCTGTTTTTTATTGAACAAATCCCATTAACAACCCCCAGCCAGATAAGGGCTGCTAAGGTGATCTGTTCATTTAGGTACGATGCTTTCTCTGACTGGAGCCTTATTTCCTTTTTCTGTCATTTTCAGAAGGCAGGTCATCAATGAATCCTTTCTGATCTCAGGCCAGTTTCTCTTTGCAGGATCGATTTTAGCTATTAGGAAATTCAAATTACAGGAAAACCTCTGCTTCACAAAAACTAAAGATTTGATGTATGGATCTAGAGACAGAATTAATAATAAGGGACAATAATGACATCATATGCTGGCATATGAAGCTCTACCCAAAGGTTATTTCAGTTTGGTGAATCCAAACTAGTTAAGACACATATTCTATGTTTGTGTTAATTGAAACATTTATGGACCTTTTCAAACAAGGTATTATGACTGCATCTTTTAATGGATTTTTTTTTTTTTTAAACAAAGTTATCAAATAATATACTTTGCTTTTCTGCAACACTTGGTTTTTTAATAGTTTACATTAATGACATGCTTTTATTCTGACATACTTGTGCTTTTTAGGTTCGACTTTTTATACTTGATCAGTTTGCACTTAAGTTAGGTGAAAGGGATTATTACCTCTTTACAAACATAGGCGTAAGATTTTTCTATAATCATATGGACGTTGTTGAAGCGTTTAAAGATTTTTTAATTATTATTTTGTTTATATCAAGTATTTGTAATTGCGTAAGTTTACTGATACACTACAGAATGTTTTTACTGTTCATGCAACTGCTGTATTTTTACACATTTCTATGTAAATAAAAGTTTTAAGGAATTAAATATAAACTGAATCAGCTCTCTTGTTTTGCTTCTTCTTTTATGAGATGATTAGGATTCTGTAAAACATTTGAGCAAAAGGAAGCATCACTTCTGCAGAAACATAGGAATCATTTATTCTCTTTATTATTGGTCCAGTATATTTTCAAAAAATGTGGTAAAGATAAATTGCATCAAAACATCAGTATACAAGCTTATTTAGAATTACAACAAACTGTTATTAACATTCAAATGTACAATCGGGGACGTAAACAAAGCACACTGGGGGAACAGAGAAAGAAGAAAAATGGATGTCTGTAAAACATCAGACCTCCACACAGGTTGGATTCCTGATAATGGGATTTTTTTTTATCTCCACATTTCATTTGGCTTAGAAACATAAAGGAAAACTGTTCCCCGACCTGAACAAGCATTCAGACGTCCCTTTAGAGAGACTTTAAATGGACCAGTTTCACCAACGCCGCCTTTCTGGATCTACCTGGATGCTCTAAACAAAAACACAACATCTGTCTTACTTTTAGCAACCAAGAGCTACATGTTTAGTGCCAAAAGAAGAAGAAGAAAAAAAAAAAACAGCAGATGTAAAATGATAGAACCGGGCTGGTTCTGTAGAACAACCCAAATTGGTCAAATTTACAGAACCGGGTCACATGTACAGTCCCTTCTTCCATGTTGACAGGTAATATTGAAATAGACTTGGCTGGCTCATGTCTGAACACTTACTTCATTTACACCAGATAAAAAACAGTATATGGATGGATTAGTACCTGTTTTTCTTTAGTATTTTTATTCAAATAACACTTTTCACTGAGAAAGTGGGAGATTTAAAACAAAGTAAACATAAAGCTAACAGTCACTACAATGAATGAGCACAGAGACCAGATGTTTAGTTGTGCTGAAGCTTGACTTTTAAACTCTAATAACCTTTTACTCTCTTACCCTTATTTGAATTCAACACCTGAGTACTAATAAAAAGGTTTTAGCCTAATTATTCCCTTCTGCCCATTAATACCCCCCCTATTTAACTGCAGTCCTGGTAAAGAAAAAAAAAACATCTTTAACGATGTGAAAGATGTTTAATAAAGACGAAAGCTACGCTCTTTAAACTGACTGAATCTTAAAGCGTTTAATAGTTTAAAGTTTATTCTTGTTCTAGAGCAAATTTTTGGAAATCCTGAGTTGCCAACAACTGAGCAACAATTTAAAATAAAATGTTCGAGAAGCGCAGCTGCAGTTTCAGAGTGAGGTGTGACTGCTAACAAAGATTAGCTTGTTTTAAGGCTTTTCTACATCTTTACCAGGGTTGCTGATCACTGCAGAGGGGGATGTGTTGTTTGCATCAAAACATTGATAATAAAGCTTTATATTAATACAACAGTATCATAGTAAAGTGTTTGGGGGGTAAAAATAATGTAACTGAGATACTGTTTGGATCTCTGCTCCCTTCTTCAAAGTGCATCATCATATTTTGCTATTATTTCAGTCAGATACAGTCATTCAGGCTTTTAGTGTGAGCGCCTCCTCTGCTGTAGCTGCCTCAGGTCATCCTAGCATCATAGCTACCTGGAACAGCTCCACTCTGACCCCTTACATGGCTGAAAAAAATTTGTTTTCCTTCATTTTTTGTCCTTAGTCACATCTGGCAGTGCGATAAAAGAAGTAGCTGCTTTAAAGCTTAAAGATCACCCAAGACATAAGAATGAGGGACAAAAAGAACAGGGCAGCTGAGAACATCTAGGAGCTGGAGACATTAATTCCTCTGTTATGTTTGGTTGCTAAGAGGGCAGGCCCAACGGTGTGGCATCAGCTTCATCACTTCAATATGGAAATTGTACCTTTATTCTGAAAATCTCTTTCACTGGAGAGAAAACACTATCTGAGGCTACATCTGTGCAAAAATGAACAAAAGCTAAATGTTTCAGTGGTTTTAGGATTGTGTCACATAGCTGAGCCTGCCCTGAAATCATTGGTCACATTTTGCTACTAAATGCCAAGTTGCAGTGAGTGTGGAACACACTGTTCAGTATGGGGGAATATGAGGCATTAAATACGGACATTTTATGAAGGTTTGATCTTCCTGCTGAAGCTGAGAGCCATCATATGAACTCTGCATTTGGTTTTTTGCACCTTTTATGCAAGACCCAATCAAGAATGTAATAAAAAATTGAAACAGAACATTTTGGTAAGCTGAATCTGCAGCTGAGTCACAGATCTACGCACCCCTGCACGTCAATACTGTGAACAGGATGAACCAATGTACACTGGAAAGGTTTCCACAGGACTGAGTCATTCAGCTCCATTCTCTTTAATAAGTTACTGAACAAAGTAAAGATGGCACCAGCCTGTATGTGGGCTCTGCAAACAAGTATTGATCTAAAACACCTGCTGGTTATAGGGTCATTTCAGTCCCTTTTTATGCAGGTTGGAATGATTCCACAATTCCCACTCTAAGCTATTCCAGGGCCAAATCCCACACTGCCTAACATTACCAACTTCAGTTTGTAGGAAAAAGCTGGAATATCAGGATACTGTGGCTTTAATTGATCAATGGAACCTTTATACCAACAGAACTGGAGGAGAAATGGAAGTTCAGAGCTTTGCCACTAGATGGTGCTGTTTGACACATTTCAATAAAGCTCAGGAGGTAAAACTGTTTTATGGAGACATTTGTCATCACATTCCTGAATTATTAACAGATGTTGGAAAAGAGCATGGGATCAAATGTATGAAAAAAACAAAACAAAAAAAAAACGTGGAAAAGCACCAAAGAGCTTAAAATAAAAATAAAAAAATCGGACCATTACTGTTGGATGTAACAAGCACCAAATAAAATAAGTATTAACTGAAAAACTATTTAGTCTAAATCAAAGTTATGACAAAACATTTTCAGCAAGTTTTTTTTTTAATTCCTAGTAGGAGAAAATAAAACAAACACAAAAAACGTCCAAATAAAAATCCACTTTTTTTGCAAGTTATTCTTATTAATCAAGAGCAAAATAAATGCCACAATCCAATAAGTCGAATTATTTCGTAAATAAAAAAAAATTCTATATCCATTATAAAGGACTTGGTTTAGTTTTAAATAAACAGCATCACATATTAGAAGCAACCACTTCCATATTTACTCACTTTTACCAGGCTTTGTGCTGCATTTGATCAAGAGATGATTTAAACAGCAATGAAACTCAGCTGTGGAGCAGTCTCCTGATTTTATTAATTAAACTAAAATAAAAAATGCTTCTGAATAATTTCAATCAAATAATAACCAATCAATCAATTCCTCTACAATTTTATTCAATTGGAAGCAGATAAATATTTATTTACCAAATGAATGGTTTATTGAACTGTGGCATTTGTGCTCCTCGATAGTCATTTGGCTCAGTGTGAAATGGAGAGGGCCCCATCTCTCCACAAAGGTAGTTAAATAAACACAAGCAGCATTGGCAACAAAAAAAAAGATTGAAGTGTTAGGTAGAAAATGTCCATAGAAAAAAAATAAAGATCTGTACAGGAGGTTCTCTACTCTCCCAGCTGACCTCAAACGCACCGCTCAACACCGTCTTTCCTCGCAGGTCGAATCGAAGGCAGCTGCTTCCTGTGGGATCTTCTCTCAGTAGAACCGGAGGCAGACATCAGCAGTTAGAACCTGCAGCCCCAGCAGCTGTTTTTTGTTTTGTTTTGGGGGGGTTTTCCGTGGCGTGGGTGAGCGAGAGGTGAAAGAACACATTAGGTTCAGTTCGTCTCACTCGTTTTGTCCTCAGTCTGTTTTTCCTGGAGGAGAGTTATGAGGGACTCCCAAGCATCCTGGCACTGCAGAGAGGGGAGAATGAGGAAGTATTCATATCTTTTGTCCTTCAGCTTAAATCACGTATTTAGGAAACACTGGGGGCTCTACCAGATATGCACATTTAGAGACTAGAGAAACGTTTGCAAAATCTTCTTTGTAAAACTGAATGGGAAGTGTTGGCTGGCGTTTTGGCCCAATATTAGTTTTTCTTTTTTTCTTTTTAAATTGGCTTCAGCCAATATGTCACCGATCCATTAAAGCCTCCAGCAACCATGTGAGATAACATAAAGTGCATGCATTGCTGCTCCCTCCATTTACTATCCGCTGTTAATGTTTTGTTTTTTATATTTGTTAATAACTTTTTTTTTTACTGAGAAGTTTGTAAACTCTGTTATTGTATGCAAGGCAAGGGAAATTTATTTATACAACACATTTCATACACAAGGCAACTCAATGTGCCTCACAGCAACACCAACATTACAAACACAATAAAACAAACTAATTACAGTAATTTTCGGACTATTAGCCGCACCTGAATATAAGCCACAGAAGATAGACTGCATGATTTGTACATATACAAGCCGCACCGGACTATAAGCCGCAGGTTTTTTATGTTTAACATAAACTGTCTTGCGCTCGCAATGTCCGTCTTTCTTGCTGTCGTTCCGTCTCGTACCACTCGCAGTAGAAGTCTGCTTCCGGAGGACCTCCACATTCTCGCGCGCGAGGCTACCGTACTTGTGTGTTGAAGCAAATGTGACATCAACATGGTGGATGGTAAAATCCATAGATTTAGGTATTACCCTAGTGGCCGTTAGCTGTAAAAGTCCATAGATAAGCCGCATTGTTATATAAGCAGCAAGGTTGAAAAATGGGGAAAAAGTCGCAGCTTATAATCCGAAAATTACGGTAATACAAATATCTACAAATACATATTATATATTAAAAGTAGTTAAAATACAACAAATCGCCAGAGGCAACAGTGAATAGACATGTTTTCTAGGAACCAGCAGGAGAACCCTCCCTGAGGTGGTTCATACAGCTCTAACATATCAGAGATTTGCTTTGGTGCTAAACAATGAAAAGACTTGTACAGAAGTAGAGATGTTTTAAAGTCTATTCTCTGAGTCACAGGAAGCCAGTGCAGAGACCAGAGCACTAGACTAATATGGTCGTATTTCCTGGTTCTTGTGAGGACACGAGCAGCAGCATTTTGGATAAACTGCAGTTATCTAACAGCTTGTTTGGAAAGGCCAGTGAACAGGCTGTTACAATAGTCTACCCGGTAATAGGCCGCTGATGTTATGGACTTACAGTAATATCACTTTTGAAATTAAGGTCTGAGTCCATGATTACCCTGAGATTTCTACCTTGAATTTTTGGTTCCAACAAAAGAGTCTTAAGATGACCAATGACAACTTCTCTTGGTTTTTGTGGTCCAAAGACAATTATCTCAGTTTTACCTGAATTTAACAGGACAAAGTTGTTTTGCATCCACACACTGATCTATTTGATATTTAAACAGAGACTAGTGCATCCTAAAGACAAAACCCCCAGACCAAATAAGAGTGGAGTGCAGTTCAATGCAGTGAGGAATGCTCTGATCTTTATATTGGAGAAACCAAACATCCTCTCCACAGACGCATGGCCCAACACAGAAGAGCGGCCTCCTTGGGACAACTCTGCGGTACGTCTACACATTATGGGCAGAGGACATTTGTTTGAGGACCAGAATGTTCACATTTTGGACAGAGAGGATAGGCGGTTCGTGAGGGCGAGAAGAAAGCCATCTATGTTAACAAAGAAAAAACAACCTTAAACAGAGCGGGTGGACTCAGATTTCAGTTTTCAAAAACCTACAATTCAGCCATTAAGTTGATTCCTTTTCGCTATCATCCCAACCCCCACCCCATAACAGGGGAACCAGAGCACCACGCCTCTGCAGCCAAGCCAACAATTCCCTTTAATTACCCACCTTTCAGAGACATAGACAGGTTTCGTCTATGTCTCTGAGATTCCACCCATTTGACAATTCCAAATGGGTGGACTCGTATGCCAGGAGCCATTTACATGTCTTCTAAGTACACTGTTGGGATATATTGCCACAATGGAGCCCAAATCAATCGGATGAACCATTTAAAACCATCCCCCTTTCCTTTTTCACAAACAAAACAAAAGATTCTCTTGATTTCACCTCCGATTTTGAATAGGTTAAATAATTAACTATAACTTTAATCATTTATTCATTATCTGCAGGATATTATTTTGCACAACACTCTATAAGGCCTTGAACTCAATGCTATTTCTAACATTTTGAATTGAAAAAACTTCTTCAAAACATCTTCAAACTTGGAAACAAAGTCCAGTAGATTCTTTTTAAAATTTTTTGGAGAGCTATTTGATAGAATGGTACAGGGTATCTACAGGTCCATGTTCACCCGCCGTCAGTGAAACGTAGATCTGAGTATCGTCTGCGGAGTGTGATAGGATACATCGCTAGTGGAAATGAATGGAAGCATGTACAGATTGAACAAGAGGGGGCCCGGAATCGACCCCTGCAGAACCCCACATGTCAATGCCATTTGGTCTGAGACATAGTTTCCCATCGCAACTCAGTAAGTATGGTCCACATTGTATCATTTTTACAAATCAAGGAGGAAATGCATGTGCTCTAAAGACTCCCTTCAGAAATTAAAACAGGAAGGCATATCTTTTAGCAGATGTTTTGGGAGATAAAGGTGCTCAGAACGATATAAAAGCATTCTTGCCTCACAAATATCTTCTGTATGGGGAAAAACAGCAAACGGATTTCCTTTCAGCAAAGTTTTTCTCTGCGCCAATCCCCCATAAAGTCCTGTTTGAAGGGCTTAACAGCTGTCATGTGGACAGAGTTGAGTTCTGAAATCTGTTTCACTGGTTTTATTAAAGGGGTTTCAGGGTAAATGGGGCTGCATAAAAGTGCATGCATTTGTTTTTTTTAATGATGTTTTAAGGGCCATATCCGATTCACAGCCATTTAAACCGGATGCATTAGGGTCTATGGCCATGAATGAAAACTATGATCTGTGATACCATACCAGGGCTGAGAAAAGCTGAGATCTGAGTCCTTCTTTGTCCTTCTCTGTTCACGTACCTTTTCATAATAGTTGATGTTTTTGTCGGCCATCCCCGTGAGGAGCTGTTTGAAGTCTTGCCTCTTGTTTCTCTGCCAGCGTTCCCAGTCTGCTTTCAGGTCAGCGTTGAAACACTCCACTTTGTCCTGGCATTTCTCCACTTCCACAGGAATCTGCAGCGGAGCAGAGAAAACTAAAGCTACAGGGGACTGGGCTCAACGCTACTTGTTAGCGAGATCTAAGTTGCAGCGTGGAAGGAGGAATTTCAGGAGGGAAAGATTAAAACACATTTTTACTCTGTAGATATAAATTGTAATCAGATGAAATCTGACAGTCTTGTGAAACTCAAATGAGAGGAAGGATGTCGCTTACAGGGGTTCGATCTTCTTGTTTGCGTAACACAGCTGCTTCGAGGCGGCCCTCGTACTCCGCTTGAACTTGGTCTCGTTTCCTCAAAACGTTCTGTTATCAGACAGAAGGCCTCAAAGTTAATATGAACTGCGCCCTCGAAGAAACAGCATGTGACCAATTTAACATGCAGACAATTCTGCTGAGTTATGAGCTGGACAGGACATGATGCATGCAAAAAAGAAAATAAAAAAAAAAGCCCTGATGGGGCTTTTTTTCTAGGAGCAAAAGTGATTAGGCTGGAGAAGAAAGCAAAAGGCTTTTTTTTCTATCAACATATTTCACAAAATATATACTTTTAGTATTAAAGAAAGGGTCAGCAGAAAAGTTAATAAACAAACATCAAATTTCCCCTTATTGCTTAATTTTCTGCATCATTTCTGGTAGAAGAGCCTCTGAATCTGTTGCTATAACCTGTAAAAATGTTACAAAATAAAGAAATGTTACAGATATTAGCCAGGGCGCCTGTGTAGCTGAGTGGACCCGATCTTGGTCTGTGGATCTGTAGAGCTGGCTCATAAGCACGGCCGTCCAGATCACATGGGGTTTTTTTTAACATTACAGGCATTAAACAACAAGAAAGACAGGGTGAAAGTGAGTGTTTTGTTCATAAGTGATACAGATAGAGGCTGTGGGGGTAAATCGGAGACATGAAAGAGTCAGGATGTGGATTTGATTTGCTGCTCGAGGCAGAGGAAGGAGTTTAGGAACTGATGTAGGTTTCAAGATCACCTTCATAGATTCGATGTAAAGAACGTATTCCCTGAGAACGGGCAGGAAGTCCTGGCTCATGTTGTCGCTCAGATCCTCCAAGGCACCACAGCTTGTGGTCACGCAGCCGGCCACGCCCTCCAGGGGGCGCTGCAGCTGCTCCTCTGACCCAGCCCAGCTGGAATACACAGCACCGTACTCACGCAGCTCCGTTAGGTACTCTGGTAGTAAAAAGAAGGAAAACAGTGAAACGTGAGCAAAATGGGATCCCAACAAAAAGACTGCAAGTGATTAAGTGGCTTCCTGAGCTTCCATCTAGTGAGTTCTTAGTAGGCGTTTAACTCTGCAAACCAGCGGCCCTGACAGATGGTGACAGGGAACATTTCACATGGCAGGTATTTATTTACGGCATCGCTGGCCATGCATGAGTCAGGTCAACTGGGTCAGCAGCTCTCTGCAGGTAAACTTTTACTCTTCCCTCATTGCTGAGTGAAGGAAGTCTCTCTTTCAGTTAAAAAGGTTGTTTTAAATGTGGGTTTGTTTGTTTTTCAGGATTTAAAAAATGGTTCAGATTAGCAGTCGGCTCTGGTTCTGTTTTCATGGCAGGAACATGAACTTATGTTCTTAAAATCTATAAATTAAAGTCAATCTAACCTGTGAAGCTGCTAAGGACTCATGTTAACGTTATGATGCTGCCATCATGTTTCGTAGCTCGTAATTACAAAAAACTGAACTTAAAAAAACTTTTGGATCTTTTCTTTTTTCAACAAACGAACATTTTACATTTACAGATTTATTCCAAGGTATTTTAAAGGGGAAGTTTAATATGAACCAATCTGCAGTGAGAGTTAGCAGCGCTGTGTGGGCACCAGACAGACACCTACCTGACTGCTCTTTGAGGATTCTCTGAGCGATGCGATCAATGGTTCCCAGTTTCTGGCTGAAGGTGTCCAGATACTCTCCCATGGCGCAGAACTCGGCCGGCCGCGCCCGCAGCTTGTAGCCTCCGGCGACATGCTTTACAGATTCTCCCACTTTGGTCAGCAGGGCCAGACCCTGACGCTTGTTCAGGTCCTGCAGAGACGCATTACATCAGGGTAAAGAGGAACAGATCCAGACGGTTGATCTAATGCTTATGAGCTGCTCCTTTACTGGAAGTTAAGATGCCTTTGCATAATTAATCTTTTATTACACTGGTATTAATCTATGAGTGAATCCTTTATTTCTTAATGTTTTACGTGAAATCATGTGTAGATGGCCCACAGCATCACAGAGCCTCCACTATAACTAACACTGGGTTCTTGTTTAACTTTGATTTTACACAAGATCCCCTTGGAGTTTTTATTTCCCTTCATAAACCCCAAACACAGCCAAGAGTCTGAAACATATTTGAGCAAACTCAACATTTTTACATTTTAGATCATTTAAAAAAAAAGAACAGACCCTGAAAAGTGTCGTATCAGGCACAGTTAGTGTTAGTGAACGATTGAGATGTTTTCCTTTCCATAAAAAGAAAATAAAAGTGATCTACTAGAAAAAAGAAAGCATTTTCAAGAAGAAAGACAGATTTTCTTCAATGGGATGTTGATACTTTTAGTATTATTCTGTTTTTGGGAATTCTGTGCAATCATTTCAAAATGACTGCAGTAAAAAATAAAGTTATGAAGAGTGATTTTGGAATGATGTAGCTTTAGAGCCACAGGGTTGAAGATAAGTAAATACTTTGATGAACTTTGGAAAGAGCTGGGACTTTAACACGTTAAGTTGGATTCATTAGAAAATTTTCCATCAATTGTATTTTCTTCTAAATATACTAAAATCCCAGCAGGAACCTCTGTACTTGCTGTTTCTTGCACAAAAAAAAATGTTTTTTTCTTTTACAAATCTGGTGCACAAGCAGCATCACATCATCAGAAAACCTCAAAGGACCCTAGAGTGGACATCTAAGGTACTTCTATCTAAGCTAAGGACACCAAATGTACGTGCCTCCATGGTCGCCATAAAAAATGCTATCTGGCCATTGCTGCAAGTTAGCAAGGAGTTAGGACTAGGAACATGAATTATTTGTCTTGATGAGAAATTTCACTAAATGCTCCTCATCAAACAGCTAATTTTAAGCACTGTTTTATGCAGAGCTAAACTGTCATAGTTCTGTCAGTATCAGAAATAAAAACTTTACATTCTGTTTATAACAAATGTTAAACTCTTACAGGAAATATTGTATTCCTTATAGTTTGTACCATAATTAGTGGAAGAATTATGCAATTAATTAATTTAGATTCATGGACTGTTTAAATTTCTATAGAAGGAGGTTTTCAAAGAAATGAAACATTAGAGGGTTTTAGAAAAAGCTAAATGATGAAGACTTTGAACCAATCTGATGGTTGAATATCCTAATTAAATATAAGATATATGTGTTGCTGTGCTCATAATTATTTGTTCATTAATAATTACGGAGAAAAAAGTTTTTTTTTAATTGAGGAGATGGTTTATTTTGTCAATAATGGTTTTTGATTAAAATGTGATTAAAGATTATCCTTCAAATTGGAATGCTTTAAGAAAGCATTCCAATTTGAAATGCTCTGAAATGTAAATGTTTTAGTATTTTTGTTTCGGATTATGTTTCCACACTAACAGATGGATTTAATTACAGCCTTTTTCCTGTGCAGTGGAAGATGTTCTTGGATGAATCACTGCTACTATTTTTTACTACTTTCCTTTCTGGGCACGTTAGAGTCCACTGCTGCTTTACCTTGGCAGTCAGAAAGGCATTAAGATGAGGGTTGAAAGACAGAACTGGGTGGTCCGCGACACGCTTCAGGAACTTGTCCAGAGCCTTCATCCTTGTCTCCACAAACTCCTCCGAGAAGCGGTCCACCACGCCCTTCATCACAAACTTCTCAGGCAGCGGCTGGAGACAGGAGGAAGAGAGAGTGAATGAGGAGCGTCTCACTGGGACAGCACGTCAGGGGGGAATAAGGGGGGGCGGAGCTTACTGGGATGAGGTGGGTCGGCTGGCTGTCTTCCAGTTTTGTCCTCAGCCAGTCGAAGTCCTGGTAGCGCCGCCGCACGCTGTACTCCGGGAGGTCGAACTCTATCCGTGTTGTCTGGAAAAAAGGAAAAAAAAGTTTTAAAACCGACATCTCAACATATTCTGAAATTTAAAACCCTTTTAATGTGTCGTTTACTATGTTTATTAGTCATGAAAACTCTTTAAAGACTGGAGATGTCTCAAACTACTTTATCTTTTCCGAGATACTGACAACGCGGCTTTGAGAATTGACTGATCCCAATATCTCAGCATTAGTCAGACATGCTTTTATTACTTATTTTGTATTGTAGCATGTTAGAAAAGGCTTGAGCAAGTGCAGGGTTTATACAGGAATGAGTAAATCTAATAATGCTCTTTTAATACTCTTCGAAATAATTATAATGCCATAAACAAGTCCCCATATATATATATATATATAAAAACATGTGAAATCCTTCTTCATCTTTACCGTCGACAGGCTGCAGCCATGTCCTAAATTCCTTGTTAAAAAGCATTAAAAGTCATTAAATTCACATTTTATGAATTTTAATTCTTTATTTTCAAGCCATTTTTGTTGAAATTTGCATTTTCCCTTTCTCTAGCTTTTTCTCTGTCTCAAGCGTCTTTTCCGAACACACGGCTTTACGATCGATCAGAAGCAGTTCTGCGCAAATACATTGCGATATAATATATCTGACAAAACTGTTTTTATAATCTTTTTTTATATGTATTTAAATACACCATTTTAAATGCCACAATAATCACATTTAATTATTTTTAAAGGCAATAAAGGCCTTCATTTTAAAAATAATAATTTACTGATTTTTAATGACCTGCAGAAACCCTGAAGTGATATTTACTAAAACAGCCAACAATAGTCAGGAACTTCAAACAGAAGCAGAGTGTTTCTATAAGCATGACCATATCAGAGGTTTTAAATGCAGGCTGATATAATCCCGTATTAGATTCTTGGCTAATATCAGACTTATATCCAATATTCATATCGGATTGGCAGATCCCATTAAAGATGCTAAAAAACTATATACATGAACATAAGACAAAATCTTTCCAATGTACTAAAGTTGGCCTGATGATATCAGGGCATTAAGGCTAAGATATAGCAGGTGAACACACAGAAACACTGTATTGATAAATAACCCCCCTCAAAGGGTCTATTAGGGTGGCATGATACCAGAAAATCTTATATCAAGTGCAATAAAAGCCTATTATCCCATCTGTGCTTCCTGCACTCTGTGATCTTTTGCTTTTCTCAGCAACGTCGTTTGCGCCTAATGTAACATCTGCAGCTATTAGAGCCTAACTAGCAACATTAGCCACCAGTCTCTGCTCTCCAACACTCCTTTGTGATATGAATACAGCACACAGCTGATAAATCACTGATAACATGCACAGCTCCAGCCTCCATAAACACTTTGAGCTTTTATTTTGGCAAGCTATTTCTATGCGGCTTCAGAAATGAAGTGCTTTGCTGCACAATCCAGCTGTCACCATGTGGCCCTGGCGTTTGGATGGATTATTGCTATTCTAAACTTTTTCACTGTAATGCAGCATAAAAGCCAATATTCTGCATATAATGCACTTAAAAATCAGCTGATGACTTTAAAATGAACCTGAGCTGCAGGAATTTACCTCGTACTTGTGAAGTTAAACAAACTTTTCTTCTTTTAGGACACGTTTCGGTCTCATATAAACAGTGCAGAGGTCAGGACCTTGGAGAAGCCTCTCCATATGCATCATGCGAGCACTTCTTGACGTATGTTTGGAAGTCACCAGCATAGAGGTGTCAGATTAAAGGCACAGTTGTTTTTCTTTTCTTTCTCTCTCTGCCTGCAGTGAGAAACATCAGCATTTCCCTAACCTTCAGTTAAACCCAGATATGGGACTGAAAGGCTCTAAGGATCTGGTTTAGTTAAAGCCAAGATAACCTTTGGTGAAGAAAGGCACAATTCATCCCACTTTGTTTTATGTCACAAACCACACTTTATCTTTGAGGCTTTGGACAAATAATCTTTCATCTTTTTTAATTTCAACTCTTTACCATCAAAACTTTGGTCTGAAAAATAGCTATTAAAATTTAGAAAACCCTAAACTCAAGTGATTTCATTCATCAATGATGGGAAGAAAAGGAAGAAACCGAAACACATTTTCTCCATCAATTCTTGAGGACTTGTCCCATAGCATCACTCATCTTCCACCATACTAACCTGTTGAAATAAGGCTTCTTTCCATATATTCATCCTTTGTTTTGAGGCAGAATCGAAATGTCATCTCACCAAAACGTATTTCAACCTCCCACCTGTATTAACTTAAACTTCTCTTCACACTCAGTTTTGTGTTGGACTGTTCTGATACACAAACCCTTCATATTATCCATGATCGCTAAGAGAAGGCTGAAACATTTCAGCAGTTTCATGTTCTATAGTTTATTAAGCAACATGGATGTTAGAAAATCAGATTCAAGTATTTTTTATCCATTTAAAGGGAATAATAAACCAGGCCTAGGCATTGATTTTAAACATTTGATTTACTTTGTTTATTGCAAATAATCAAGCTGAGTATCAAAGAAAATATCACTCAAAAATAAACAATAAAATGTCTTGCCTTACCATAGCTTTTGATAGTTTGCATTGAATACCTGATAATTGTGGAATCCTTGATCTATTTTGTCGAATAATTTCAATGGGGACATTTATTTTGAAAAAATTCTGGGCTGAACAGGTGAAAACTCCTCATCTGAGGCTAAAAAAAATATTTGGTACCACCTTCTCCCTTCAGGGACGAACATGGTGAGGGGGTTCTTGCTCTGTCTATCGATCGATTGATTGGTGGGTCCTGCACTGGATAAAGTTATGTTTTTCTTCCAGTAGCTAAGCGTCTAAACCAGGGGTCTGCAACCTGTGGCTCCTTGGACCCCTATAATGGTTCTGAATGGTGGCTAAAGATGATATAAATAATTACCTTAAGTACTATAATAACCAATATCAGTCTTAGCAGCTTTGGTGGTTTCTATAAAGAACATATGAGTTGAATTTTCAAAACAGCACCAGAAATATGTTTTAAGAGCTTTATTTCTTTTAATTAGCTTGCAAATTATGTGTTTTTATTATCTTTTTTTTTATAAACACAAACTAGCAGAAAATCTATGTTTCATCTTTACCCATTGTTTTATGTCTTTCTTATCTTAAAAGCTTAAAAAAACGAATAACCTCTTGGTTCTTAAAGATGGAAACAGATTTCTTATAGCAGATATTTCACAAAAAATATTGGTTGTGTTTTATTAAATATTTTGTAGCTCTAAATGACTTCTAATTTGTATCTGAAAGGTTGCAGACCCCTGATCTAAACCCTGCAACGCAGCAACAACCCATGGGTTTAATCTTTATGCTGATGGCTGCAGATATAAAACGTGCAGAAATATTTTACCTGCAGGTGAAAATGCTTGTTTTAATTTCTGAAATGCTGCTCTTAAGCAAACAGTACATCTTTACTAACATACATCAGCAAAAAGTACCTTTATTTTGAAAGCTCTCTTATCCTCTACAAATACATCTGTGTGGCATTAAAGAAGAAAGCAGCTGCTCTAAATAAACATACAGCTCTGTTCCATATCTGTTATAAGCTGTTTTATTTTTTTTTAAAAAGCATCCTTACTAGGACTGAAACAATTAATCAGATTAATGGTGATTATTTGACTATTGAAATAATCTACAACTAATTTAGTAATCGAATAATCATTAACTGCAGTATAGATATTCTAAAACATGCTATAACTAACAGAACAAGCCACTTAGAACAGTAATTATATTAAAAATTGTAAAAAAAAAAAATATGTATAAACATTTTGCATTTAAGAAAAAAAAACATTTTTGTCTGTCAATATGCTCTATTTAGAACTTGTCAAGTGGAAAAGGTTTAATATCGTAAAAAATCTTTAAGGAACCGTGGATATCCGATTATTAATCGATAAAATAATCAATACATTAATCGATATGCAAAATAATCATTAGTTGCAACCCTAATCCTGACAAACATTTACTTCTATGGTGACGCACTATTTACACTCAGTTATGTTTGCAGTGCCGTTTCTCCTTTTTATAGTCGGGGTCTGACTGGTCAAAACGCGCTGGTGAACAACTTTTATGACATGATATTAGTAGATCCCATGGGAACATTTAAAGCAGGAAAACAAAACCTTCAAAGCGTCGGTGTCAAACTGTGTGATGCTTCAGAAAAAAATGCATCAGCTGGATTTTAAGAGTAAAGCAGGTCGGATCTGAGCTGCGTTACCAAGCCGTTAAAAAAATTTAAAAGTCGGCAATACGATTTTGAACTGAATTCTGTATCAAAAAGGAAGTCAAGTTAAGGTTTCCAACGCAGGCCGGGTGTGACGTGGCTTTTACTTCCAGTCAGCAGGAGAGCCGCTGCTTTTTCTCAGGCTGCTGATGCAACAGCAACGGAAAAGGAGCTGCAGAAACCAAAGCAACGCTGTAATAAACACACAGATTATTGCCTGGAAGCAGTAAGAAGGGATGAAGGCCAACAACGCCGCCTCTAATCTGTTTGTCACATTTAAAAGTGCTGCCAAACCCAAAGTCCTGAATCAGCAACACGTGGATTTTAGATTTGACCCCAAACACCGACAAGTTTTGTAGTAAATTTACGTTTTTTTCAGATTTTCACATCGCCTCAGGAAGTCATCTGCTTTCTAATTTTTGATTTGTAGTCCAGACCACATTTATAATGAAAAAATAAATAAATAAAAGGAGGATTCAGCAAAGAGTAGATTATAAATGGAGCTTTTAGGCTCTTTGATCGGACCTATGAAAAATATAAATCATAGCTGCCTTTCAGTAAATGATTAACTAAGGGAAATATTTACAGGCAGCCTGTGGGAAAATAACTTCTTAGTAAGTTAGTGTTAGAAGACACTTTGTTTATTCTTCTCCGCTGCAGCTCAGAAGGATGATCTAATCCATACAAATTCCATAGGCATCATAATTTAAACACAAGTTCACAGTCATGAGATCATGGAGAACAAAGTTCAATCCAGTCATGAGATTTTAGCAGCAATCAGCTTTTTTCATCATTCTTAAAAAGATAAGAAGAGAGTCTGATTCTATAAAAAAAAAAAAAACAGGTTAAACAGGACCTGAGCAAAATAAACAAACCTTAGTGGAGACTCTGTAGGTGATGTAGGTCTCCATGGTGGAGACGTGTTTCTTCGGGTCGTCGACGGTGACGAAGAGGTCGCGGGCTTCTGTGGAGCCGTACGGGTCCTGATCGTCTGCCTCCAGCTCGTCGTCCAGCTGCAGCCTGCTGAGCAGCACCGATGCAGAGGAGGGACTGGAGATCTCCACGGGCGCACCGTTGGTCAGGCCAGGCTCCTGCTGGGAAACAAAAAAGAAAAAAAAACAGACCACAGCGATGATTTGATGATGGTGCCGTGGTAGAAAGAGCTACAGATTGATTGTGATGCTGACGAAGCTGTTCTTCATCGTCAATGGAGCGCTTGTTGAGACTGCGTGGAAACGCTGCATTTCCTGGATCAGCTTTCTGTTTGGGGGTGAAAAAAAAAAAAAAACTGGAAGAATTCTTACTTTTTTTCCAGTCTGGGAGGATTAAAACCATCAGAGAAAGAGATATACCCTCATACAACTGCGACTAAACTGCTTTTAATTCTCCTGAGTTTTAAAGGCAATAAATAAAGAGGAAAAATAACAAAGCTGCACCTTAAAGGAGACTGAGAAAAGCTCTAAAACCCTCCAAACACAGCTGATAACTCAGATGGAGAATTTTTACCCCCAGAGGAAATACGAAGTATGCAAAAAAATGATAAAAGTCTCTATTTTATTATATAGGATAGGTGTGTTATGTGTCAAATTCGGTCAGCAGGAAGAGGAGAGCTGCTCCTCCGTCCTCCTTTCCTCAGTCCACTTCACAAACACACAAAGAGCTTCCTTAGAAAACAGGCGCTGACAGCAGCAAACCTTCCACTGCTGCTGACCTGCTCTGGTAAACAAACACCGCTCAGATAATCACGCTGCATCAGGACGTTGCTGTGAATGAACAACCAGCTAAAAAAACGGTCGGCCATATGCAGGAAACAGCACCAGGAGCCGTTTCTACTATCAAACACAGATCGGTTTCTGTTGCTTTTAGAAAGAGAAGAAGTAACAAAATCTGCTAGAGATGACCTTGAAATTTCCTTTTTTTTTAAATTACAACAGCTTTAATACGACAGTAAACAGACCCCCATGAGGAAAACCTTCCCCTGTGACCACAGCGCAGTCTTCTGCTGCTTCTCTGCTAGGATCATCCTACATGAGCGTCACCATTTCTACTCTTCACTCTGTGCCTGCTGGAGGACAGCCTACCAAAAGCATGATGCTGCCACCGCCATGTTTCACTGTAATACATTCAGTTGTAGGCAAGGCAGAGCATCTTGTTCCACCTGTTCCCCGATTCTCCTGCAAATTCGATTCTCTCAGCTGATGTGTAGATCTCTGCAGCTCCTCCAGAGCTCCTCTCTGATTGGCAGGCATGCAGATTATGGATTGAAAAGTGCTATAAAAGTTTAAAGTTTACAATCTTTATAACCAACTGAGATGTTCAAAGAAGCAGCTGGATTCATGCAGGTTAACATACACTCAAAGAAAAGGGATCTAAAAGCACATGGATCAGATTTTTAGCTGATAAAACATTTGGAAATCCATTTACTATATCATTCTCATTTCACTGTAAAGCATTTATTTATGCTGCCGTTTGCAGTTAAGCAGATTACACTGACCTCCCTTTCCTGTCTTCAACAGGAAGGGGTAAAAAAAGCAACACCACACAGCATGTAACCATGACAAGCAGGTTTCAGCATCTCTCACTGGCAATGATTAACTGCTGGTTAGAAACGGTTGTTGCTCCATGATGAATAAAAAGCTTCGCTCCGTCGATGTTTACGCAGCCCTCAGAGGTTGCTGAGGATGCCGCATCCCCCCCAGCCCCTTCTATACCTACCGTGTTGTTTTTCTAGACTAAAGATAGTGAAGAAGAAGTCAGTTTTGTGCACCAAATAGTGCAAATAATCTGACTTAATGAGGTGCAAATGCAGGAACACATGAATCAATCATATACCTGTTTGTTTAGGTTCCTCATTTGTGGATTTTTCCCCCCAAAAAATCAATAAAAATCTGAAAAGAAAAACCGGATAAAGAAGATCAAACAGCTATGATGCAGAGTTCTGCTGTATTGTGCTGTCTGTGACGGCCAAAACCTGTCACTTTGGAGCACGGTGGTGGCAGCATCATGGGGTGAAGATGCTGTTTAACTAGTTTCTGCAGGGACAGAGGATCTGGTTCATGGGTCGATGAGGAGATGGATAGAGGGGATTATATGCGCAGAAAATGAACGGAAGGTATAGAAGTAAGATTTCACTTTTAAAGCAGGAAAATGGTTTGTGGATCAGACAACAATGCATCTATTGAAAGCCGGTGGTGTTTTTCTAGACTGAAGATAATTAAGACGAAGTCAGTTTCGTGCGCCAAATGGTGCAAATAATCTGAATTAATGAGGTGGAAAGGCGGGAACACATGAATCAATCATATACGTGTTTAAGTTCCTCATTTGTGGATTTTTCCTAAACAAAATTCAATAAAATCTGAAAAGAAAAACTTTTAAGCAGAGTTTTGCTGTATATTGTATTGTGCTCTCTGTGAAGGCGAAGAACCTGCCACTTTGGAGCACGGTGGTGGCAACATAATGGGGAAGATGCTGCTTTTTTCTGCAGGGACAGAGAAGCTGGTTCATGGGTGGATGAGGAGATGTATAGAGGGGATTATAGAAGTAGAAGTAAGGCCAAGATTTCACTTTTAAAGCAGCTGTTATTGAAAGGGCTCCTTTAAATCAGAGGTAAAGTGAAACTGATGATCAATCTGAGAGCAGCAGCTGTTATTGTTGTGATATTGCTTCTGTTTTTTTAAATCTCATAAAACTCCAAATAAAATATTGAGGGAATGTTTTTTGTTTGAACTAGATTAAATTTAAATTAACTTAATGTTTTACTGTCGGTTGTATAATATTTTTTTTTTTTGTGTGTGAAATTTGGAGCCGAACGTGAATGAATTTAGTCTCTATAGGATCCTGGAAACATTGAACAGAGAATCTCCCTCTGATCAGTCAGCATTTCTCTCTTCTTGTGTTTTCCTCCAGCTCATCCTCACCTTTTCCTGATCTGCGCCCGCGGTGACATCTGGCCCCGGAGACATCGGCTCCTCGGCGGCGGACAGCGGGTGGAGGATCTCCGTGATGAGCTTCTGCCCCGAGCTGGCCAGGCCTCTCGGAACACCGACACTCATCCCTGCGGAGGGCGGGAAGACGCGGCCGCTTATCGGTGGAAAGGACTGTCCGGTGGGAGAGCGGCTGGACGGACAGGTGAGGGCCCTCTCTGCTAGGCTCCTCTTCGGATGAGACGTTAACAACAACCGCTAGTTGATCACAACAGTCAGCTGACCTGTACTGCTCAGCTCCGGATGTTCATCTACGGCAACCCGGAAGTACACATCAACAGTCGACAACCCAAAGATCGTCTAGTAGGAAGATGTGTCAACTGGTTCTACTACCAGACCAGTTAGCTAACAATAAATAGCTATGCGCTAAATGATTGCCCAATACAAAACATTTAAAACGTTAAGAGATGTGAAGTAGATATCATGGGGGGAAAAAATATCCATATGAATAAGGTCGTGTTAACTCCAGTGTCATGAAAAGATATATATTTTTCAGTCTCCATTATTTTTTTAAATAACATCTACATTTATTTTAAATAATAGAGAATTATAGCTCACAATAAATATAGATATATCTATATATATATTATATATATATAAAAATATGTGTGTGTATAAAAATAGAGATATACATATATATATATAGATATATACATATATCTACACACACATATTATATAGATAGATAGATAGATAGATAGATAGATAGATAGATAGATAGATAGATAGATAGATAGATAGATAGATAGATAGATGATAGATAGATAGATATGCACTGTATATGTTGTATATACCCAGTACACATAATCCAATGTGACCAGTGAGATCAATAAAATCTATCTTATCTTATTTTATCTTATCAAAGGGGGTGAAGAGCTGTGGGACACAAGTAAAGAAAAGGGTAAGGAGGGCAAAATGAAAACAGGAAGAAAGACAGAGCAGAAAAGTAGTAAGGATGCAAGTAAATGAAGAGGCACAAGAAAGAAAGAAAGAAAGAAAGAAAGAAAGAAAGAAAGAAAGAAAGAAAGAAAGAAAGAAAGAAAGAAAGAAAGAAAGAAAGAAAGAAAGAAGAAAAAAACAGCAACAAAGAAAATCAATTGCTGCTCTAAACTTGTCTTGTAGGATAACTGTCTTGGCAGAAATACCTTTTTATTTTTGTCAAATGCTTTAGGAAGTCACAGATTGTACTTTAAACAATCTTTCATTTTTATGAAAAATTCAAATTCAAATCAAATAGAGGCACTAAATGTACTAAATGAGGTAGTAAATCCCTTTAATTTCTATGTATTGTGACTAAGAATGGATCAATAAGAATGAATAACCACCACATTTTTTTCACTTTAAAATAGTTATAAAAAATCAGTTAGAACATAATCATGATTCTATTTGTTTTTTTCTTTTTTCTGTAATAAAAGTTGTAATTTTGGATAGCTGTACGTTGTTTGCTCTGTGAGACATGTTTTCCTTTGCTGTACTGTCTATTCCAACTTTTTGAAAACAACAATTGACAAAGACGTGTTTCAGCTCTGAGAAGGTTGCAAGTAGCCGGTTCGAATCCCACTGTCTCCACCCTGAGCAAGACCCTTAACCTCTGCAGAGGTAAACTTCCATTTACCTGTTCTGCAAACAGGGAACTTTGGGCAAGGTCCTTCACGCTAATGCCTCCTTTGGGGGGTGGCCTCCTAGTGGTTAGGGCATTGCACTTCGAAACTTGAGTTCAAGCTGGACTACCACTCTGGCTCTGGAGCTTGATTTTTTCTTATTATTAACAAATTAAAAAGGTTTGAATACCATTTTTGAATATTTTTATATATTTAAAATGAAATCATGCTGTAATTATTCCACCTTATGTTTTGTTTTTTGCTTTGTTAAAAATTCTACAACTTAATGTTTCCTTTTTTTTCTTCACATTAAACCTTAGAAAGTATTTTACGACGGAGTATTAGGGCCACATTGAGGGTCTTCAACCGGTGTGTAAAGTCGAAATATAGTGTTGAGAATAAATTTGAGCTGTCATTAATAAAAAAAAATTGAAGATGGATAAAATCAATAATGACGTCAGCAGACTTGAATAAAAACAGACATGGACTTGACAGCATGTTTTTTTGGGGACGTTTTAAGCCTACATCCTCTGAAAGGGAGGCTATGAGGCTGTGACATTTTAGGCACTCTTAATAGTTTATTGTTATATATTCAATATACAGTATAAACACAATATTTCAACTTCATTCTCAATATTTTGACTTTATTTTTTTTTTTATTTTGGCTAATGCCTGCTTTGGGGAGTGGGAACCTAGAGGCTAGTGCATTGCACTTGGAATCGAGGTCCTGAGTTCAAGCCCCACTCCCACAGACTGCCACTCTGGGTCCTTGAGCAAGACCCTTAACCCCCACACTGCTGCCAGGTCGCTGCACAATGGCAGCCCACTGCTCCCCAAGGAAATGGGTAAAAAAAACATTTTTTCTTTTCTTTTCTTTTTTTATAACTTTATTTGGAACAGTAACAATGACAAACTCAAACAATACAGCATAATAAAGCACAACATATAGTCAATCATACCTCTTAACACTTTTCTTAATTTTTATTTTCTTTTCTTTCAAGTTGTGAGGTAAACAGATGTTTAGTTTATGCAATATACTTCAGAAAGAGAAAAAAATCGAAATCCAAGGATATATATAATTACATATGTCGAATATAACAGAATTATAATGAAAGATAAATGAATAAATAAAAAATACAAAACCACAAAAAAATAAATAAATAAAATAATTAAAAAAAAAGCCAAGTAAGCATTATTCTTTAATTTGTATCGAGCGAGGGCTAAAATAAATTAGAGAGATGATATGACAAACTTATTGCTTTTGGTTTCTGAATTTTGTCCAAGGAAAGATTTAGAAGATGTTTAAATACAGACCATATAGGAAATGGGTTAAATAAAGAGAGTTAATTTAGTTGCTTTGTAATTGTAACAATGTAATGACAATAAAACGCTGGAAAGTAACTTTAAATGAAAGCGGAGTGTTTCTATCAGCCCGCTCAGAGATTTAAGGTGCAGGCCCGTATATCCAGTGTTTATTCCGCGAGAAATATAATCAAAGTGAGACCTCTTTACTGTAGCTCCATCTAAACTACAAACCGGGTTTAACATAGAAGTTAAATACGGTTGAACGCCATATGTTTCACCACCCAGGCAGCTCTGTAGCTGTTATTCTGATGGGTTTGGTGTTTAATTAACTTTATTGAGTATTTCCTGTCAGGAAGTGAGCTACTTTATACACAGGCTACAAGCTAAGCTACAGAGCGTTCACCGGATTCAATCTTCCGTGTTGCAACATTAGCGGCTAGGAGTCCGCCTGAAACCATCGATAAACAATCAGTTCTGGTCACTTCTCTCTCAGTTATTGGTTCCTGGCCTTCAAACACATGGCTGCTAATCCACCGGGACAAGGTAATGAGTCTAAAACTATTTGTTTAAAAGTCATGTTTACTGCAGAGGCGGAGCAGCGAGTTTTAGAGACCCGGGGAAATGCGTAACCCTGGCCCCCTTTGACCGAATCTAATGGATATTTTACAACTACAGATTTTAGACCATCATGTTACATATTTTTATGCTTTTTATAAAAACTTTTGTTATATAGAGTAATAATAAAAGCTCCAGTAAACATGCAGGGTATTTCATTCACCATTAATTTCTTGTCTTAACTGTAGAAACAATTTGTAAATAACACCTTCCTTCCTGCAGCTTCATCTGAATCAGTCTATTTTTACCAAAGCTAGAATGCTTGAGAAACGTAACTTTTTAAAGTTGTAAGGAAATCATATTTAAATTTCAAATTATTGTGGCTTAAACATGTATATAAACGTACTCTTTATTAGACCATATCGTCCCAAAAGTTTAAAAATTTCTATTAAAAAAAAAATCCTGTCTTAAAATCTGTTTGTTTT